AGGGTGACGCAAACCTTTCTCATGAAGGAGGAAGTAGGCTTGTTCTGTCAAAACCAGGGGGCCAATGGAGGGATGCAGCCCCGCAGGGGAAGATTTTCTCAGGGTGGCCTGCAGTGAACCAGGAAGCTCTGCACAGACCCATGGAAGGGCTTAGGCACAGGCATTCTTCCCCAACCACAGACGAGTGTGTGGGTTCCACACCCCTGCCACTCAGATACATTACAGTTTTCAACCACTGCGGAACGGGCAGAAAACCTAAGTAGTCAAGAATCTTCATGTTCCATATGTGGGAAAGTCTCATGGCTTCGGCTCCTAGACATGGTTGTCCCTTCCGGCCTGGTCAAACAGCCCACAGGGGAAGAAGGGGGAGATACACGTCCCGTTGCTGCTGAGTCTAATTCTCGGCTTGCCCTTGCCCTCGGCTGAGAAAAAGAGTATGTGGAAGCAGGTGGACGGGGGCAGGGCTCGAGAACATGTCCACCACAGAGCGCTAGCAAGCATACCAGTGTCACCCTTCAGAGTGTATGTGGGTGCACAAGAAGAATGTGAGTGACCTGCTGGGGGACAGAGGAGTATCCACAACAGCTGCATGGGACTCAAAGCCAGGGCTTAGTGTGAAAACCCTGTCCTTCACACCAGCTTACCGGGAGGGACATCTCTACCATTCTGCACGCCTACGATGAGATTTGTAACTGTGTAAACAGAGGTCTGAAATGGTTGTGAAATAACTCTGTCTAGGCCACCAGAGGCCTAAGAAGAGGGCTGTGAAAGCATCATGGCACACACAGCAGAAAGCAACCCCTGTCTTTGCAGAGCCACAAGTCTGTACCTCCATGCATGGCGTCTATGCGGATCTTCAGTCTGTTTGGACCAGACAGTAGCTCCTTCAGGGCATTGAAATCAAAGATGTTTCTCAACATTGTCGCATAGGCCTCCACCGAGTCTACAATCTCCACTGGGAGAACATGTGATGTTGAAAGGAAAAACAAAACATATCCAGACATTATTATACTCCAAACTAATGATATTTCTACAAACCTGCAGTAACTATTCAAAAGGGCAGCTGTTAAATGTCATCTTATACACACTAACACTTTTCCTTGAACACAAATGTTACTCATATGATTTTATAGACAAGGAAACTCAAGGTTTGAAAGTCAGAACTTACACAGCTAGGGTGGGACACTTGAATTCCCAGCAGAGGACAGGTGAGCTCTACAAGCTGCCACCCACTATCTCTACACATCCTCCAGATCGCTTCCATTTTGGCATCGTGGATGACAGAAAAGATAATGCCCACTTTTCAATTTTCTTTTCCAAGGTCCAGTAAAAGGAGAAGTTCCCTAAATGAATCACCTTCTGTGTGTACTGCTAGTGGCTAAAACCAGAATTATCTTTTTCAGTGCACGAGGAGTCTATAGAGCTCTCTAGTGGTGGCTTCCAAACCCTAAGAACATGTGGAACTTTATTGCAATGCAACTGTCAGCCCTTGATGTACCTCCCAGAATTGTCTAGTGGAAAAAAAAAAGACAAGTTGAACTAGGTAAACACAGGCCACACAGATAACCCTCTCATTATCTTCTTTTTTTTTTTTTCTTTTTTTTTTGAGACAGGGTTTCTCTGTGGCTTTGGAGGTTGTCCTGGAACTCGCTTGGTAGTCCAGGCTGGTCTCGAACTCACAGAGATCCGCCTGCCTCTGCCTCCCGAGTGCTGGGATTAAAGACGTGCGCCACCAACGCCCAGCCCTCATTATCTTCTTTTTAATATGAATTTATAAATGTTTATTCCATATAGAACTGTAATACCTTGATGTTCAACAACAAAATGTGACCCATGGCTGCCTTTTCCAGGAGTTTTGTGCAACCCAAACAAATGGTCTGATGGATCTGACTGAATGTCAGGAGAGGGGGAAGAAGCTGAAAAGCTAGGCTTGAAAACCATTCAGAGTCTGATGCTAGCTTTCCTGTTCACTGACAAGTGTGAGCCTGTTTCTCTGCTTTTGTTCTTCCTCTGCTGACAGTCTGCAGTGATAGTGCTGGCCCCACAGGCTGGCCATGGGAATAAAATGGAACGATACAAAAAAATCAAATATAGCAGGAGCCCAACAACATTAATCGGACAGGTCTTCTAGTCAACGCTGTTGTGGAAACTGAGGCCTAGAGTCGGAAATGAATCACCCAAAGGCATACAGCCTAGCACTCACAAGGTCAATGACCCAGCTCTCTACACTCCCCAAACAAAGCTCATGGATCACCATTTTCCAAAGCTGAAGACCTATTCCCACAAAAGCTCAAAAGGAAAAGTGTTCAAGTTGGAAGCAGGGTATGCAGGAAGAGGAAGAGAGTACCACGGCTGTGAAAAGGGCAGGAGACAAGGAAAATAAACATGCCTGTGAAGGGCTTGAACTTGTTTTCCAGGTCAAACTGCTGCTTTCCCAGAACACTGAGGTCTACCTTCAAGTCAGGGCAGATGGCATATTCTTCGATTGTCTTGCTGATTTGGAAAATTTTATCAGTGATTGCTTCTGGAGCAGGACCTACAAATCATACAGCAAGCAAGGGTCATCATGTGCAATCCACGTGAAAACACCCTGTCACTCTGCAGTTCCTCTACCCTAAAACATACTTCCACCAAATCACAAAACATCAGGACTCCTTTCCAGGGGTTTTTGAGATACAGGCTCACTATATGATGAATATTGGCTTTGAAATTCTCCTGCCTCAGATTTCTAAATGCTAAGATTACAGGCATGGCCGGGGCATTGGTGGCGCACGCCTTTAATCCCAGCACTCAGGAGGCAGAGGCAGACGGATCTCTGTGAGTTTGAGGCCAGCCTGGTCTACAGAGCGAGTTCCAGGACAGCCTACAGGAAGGCATATGTCAGGACATTGCTGGTTTTGTTCTGCAGATTTCCTCTAGGGGCTCAAAAAAAAAAAAAAAAAGATTACAGGCATGTGTTAATTAACAGCAATTAGAATTTCTAAGAGAAAATACCATGTTAAGTTGCAATTCATATATGGCTCCTCTTACAAGGAAGGCACAGTAGAGTAAGAAGTACTCCATATCTCCAAAGGGAAGCAAAGTCCCTTCTTAAGGTGAGAATCAGAGACAAGGCCTTCCAGTGCTTTGAGTACTAGCTCACCCAACTGAATATATACCTGGCTGTCCTCAAAATGACAGAATACTCACCCCCATTAGAAATATTGAATTTAATCCCAAAATCTCCATTGGGCCCTCCTGGATTGTGGCTGGCCGTCAGAATGATCCCGCCAATGGCTTTGATTTTTCGAATGATGCAGGACACAGCAGGAGTGGAGAGGATGCCATTCTGTCCAATAACCAGGCGGCCAATCTAGGAGAAGAAATTCAAAACACATAAATCCAAAGCTACCACAGAGAAATGCCAAGGCAAGGAGAAAATGGACTATGAAAACAGGGCTGGATCAGCAAAGGTATTTTCTTAAGAAAGCATCAGTGTCTTGCATGTCTCTACCACATTACCAAGATAGAGTCAAGGCTGCTGGACAAAGTCATTTCTTTTTCTTTTTCTGTTTCTCTCACTCTCATCTCTCTCTTTTCCTTTTTTAATATGGAACTTTATAGTTTTAGAATAGTGTGCTGTAGCTATGGGAGTTTGGGCCAGCTCCATTCACTGTTCTGACAGAATCAAGAATGACTTTTGCTTTATTTATTTACTTATTTACTTATTTATTTTTATAGTAGAGATGACTTGGTGGTAGAGGATGTGTTTCCTTTTTAAAAATTCATTTTTATTTTTAATTATGTGTGTATACACGCCTGTGTGTGAGTATGTGTGCCTGTGTGTGGGTTTATGCACATGAATATAGGTGTACACAGTGCCCATAGGTGTCAGAGTTCCTGGAGTTGCACTTACAAGAGACTATGAGCTGCCCGGTATGGGTGCTGGGAACCTAACTTGGGTCCTCTGCAAGAGGAGTGCACACTCTTAACCACAAGCTATCTCTCCAGCCCAGAAGATGCATTTCTAATGTGAAAAAAAATGCCTCGAGAGACCTGGATTCACTGGAGACTATGTAGGGAAGCCTTAACGTTGTGACTCCCATCTGCACATACAACATGCCACTCAAAACTTGACTCCCTTATGACTCACCCCTTCCCTATTACCAAACTCCCTTATGACTCACCCCTTCCCTATTACCAAACTCCTTCCCTATTACAAACTCCTTTTCCCTCGCCTCCTAATTCTCCTGCCTTTCTCTAACTAAGAGGAGCCTGCAGAAAGATATGACCACTGCATCCCATGCCACTTTTAGTCCCTGAAAGCAAATTTGTTCCTCCCAGGTGGCATTTCCAAAGCTGTCCCAATCTCAACATCTCTTCCTTCTGGTAAGGACTCATGGAAAAGAACCACAGCCATAGCTGAACTAATGTCAGTAGCATGTCCCACAGCCACTTAGCTGGATCTGGGGAGGGAATTTGGGAGAGGAACATCTCACCCCTCCAGAGGTTTCTTTATGTGACTATTTTAGAAATAATGCCAGGAATCAGATAATTTAGATTTCTCAAAGATGAACTTGGAGCTCTCAATGGGTATAGTCAAGATGAAAACATTCTAAAGATGTGGGCCACAATGTGAATTCAGTTAACACTATCGAACCACACAATTGAAATGGCTATGCCAGTGGATGATATTAAGTTTTAAGCCACAATTAAATTACTGTTTAAAATTGGTTACTGTATTCAAAGATAGCATTGCTGTCTATAGATAGGAAAGTGACTGGGAGGACATCTGTGGGATCAATATTCATTTTTTTTTTCTATTTGGAGACAGTGCCTTGCTATCTCCAACCCAGCCCAGCCTCAAACTCATCAGCATTCTGCTTTAGCCTCCCAAGTGCTGCAGCTACAGGATTTGACAACCATGCCTGGCTAAAAATCTTTTTAAAACTCAATAAGGAAATGAAACTTTGACCCCATGCTCCAGCATGACGCGTCTTGAAATAGGTCAGACACAAAAAGACGAGTACGGAACAACATGAGGGATCCAGGACAAGCCAATGCAGAGAGGCAGAAGGTAGCACTAGAGCTACCAGACGCTGGAAAAGGTAGGTGTGGGAGTGACTATTTAATGGGCATGGAGTTTCTGCTTGGGATGATGTGTTCTGTTTGGTGATGGGTAGTGATGACGGTCGCACAGCATTAGAAATGCCGCTGGAAATGCTTAAGATGATAAAGCTGATGTTGTATGCTACCATCCCTAGTAAAGGGAACACACAGCTTGGCGGCTCATGTTTCATTTAAAAGGAGGAGGAGGAAGATGTCCCCTCATTTTCTTTGTCCTGTTAGCTACAAGCAGTCCTTCTTTGATTTAACCTCTGAACTTTCTCCGAGTTCAAATCTCTGCAGTCTACATGAGGCCCACCAAAAACTCATGTTGTGAATTAAAATGTCAAGTAAAAGTAGACAGCTCTATGCAAATGAGAACAAAAAGAAATCCCGAGTATACACACGGACTATGGACTCCGATCCAACAATGTGAGATGCACTCTCACCCTGAACTCTTTGGGGAGGGTCTGGGCCCTGCCCTATATGAAATGACAGACTATGGACACCCCCATGGAGGGCCTCACCCTCCCTGGGGAAATGAGGGGATACTGGGGGGGTGTTGGGGGGAGGGCACGGGAGGAGGGGAGGGAAACAGAGAGGGACCTGGAACTGACTTGTGAAGCAACCTTGTTTCTTATCTAAATTTAAACTTAAAAATAAAAATAAAAAATAGCTGATAAAAGACCTTGTAAAAAGGACCTTATGACAAGTAAAGTGATACTAAGATTAAAAAAAAAAAAGGAAATCACTAATGAAACCTAATTGCATTCTATACAATGATGCACCAGATTTAGAAAAGAAACAGATTGGTGCATCAGTCAATAGAAAGGGGAAGATGACAGGCTCCATTGAGCTTTGTATGCTAAAAAGTCCTCCACAAACAAGTTGGGGGGGGGAGTGGCTACTGACAATGGGGAGCCACACTGTCTTCTGCTAAACTCCATGATAATCACTATCTTCCCTTTAGACTTCCTGTATCCTGCCACAACCAGAGATGGTAAAGCCACCATCTCCGGCTATGTTAGAAAAAGAAGAAACTAAGCAAGGTCTTTAAAGTTTTATGGTTTTTTATCAGATTAAAGCACTTTATCAGTCCACTAAATGTCTTTAAAGTGATCCAGCCAGCCAGCATGACTGCTTTCAATGCAATGCTATTTTTAATAAGGAATGCCCTTGAAAACATTGCTCAAGCTGCCACAGCCTTAACAAATATCAGTTACCATATTTTATCAATTATTATCTCTGAAATGTATTATTTAGCAAACCTTCAGACAGTCAATCAGAAAGTCTGGAGGGTCTGCCTGAGTTACGCACCCCCACCAAATCTTCACATCCTTCATCTCCACACACAAAAAAAACTTTAATGAAGCCGAGTCTATCATAGCCAAGGGGACAGTGTACCAGATCCATTCAACAGCCTAGATATATGGGGAAATAATGCTCCATTCGTCCCTCTCAAAAGATTAAAGCATCTTTAATACCATTCCCGGTGCAGTACTCCTCAAAGATGAAATTTACGGCGTGTCACATTTTATCTTAAAAATGTGTGTGCTTCATAATAATTTCATATTTGAGTTCTTTATCAGCAATCGTTACCTGACAGGCATTCAGATTCTGAAGCTGACATTAACGGAAACCCCACACCGCAGACAACGGTTTACAACAGTCTACGTTTACTCTGGTGGCTTGCTGTTTGCTGGTGTTTGCTTTTGCCAACACATGCTTGGCACATTAGTCAAACAGTCTGCAAAGGATTGCCCAACACACTTGATTGCAGTGCTAAGTAGTATGTTCTTTCTTTGGACCAGAATTTCAAGAAAAAGGTAAACAACAAACTTTAAGTATGTATAGCTAGTAAAGGAACATGTGCCCCAAATCTTAGCGCGTGCGCGCGTGCTCTCACACACACACACACACACACACACACACACACACACACACACACACACACACACTGGTTTGGAGCCCCCAGAGGAAATCTGCAGAACAAAACCAGCAGTGTCCTGACATATGCCTTCCTGTAGGAGTTCCACTATCAAGACCAGGGCTTTTGCCATTTTACCTCTAACTTGCTTCGCCTGGCCCACATGGACCCATGAGGCAGCACTTTGGCAGGGCTTACTTACATCATTGCCATACAGGAGCTGTTATCGCTACCCTGTTGCAGAAATTCACCCTCACACAGGGCTTCTTCGTGTCTGAGGTCATCATAAACAGATCCCTCCATTAACAATCCTCCCTGAATGCTCACACCTAACATCCAACCCACACCCCCCACGCCCCGCCCCCAGTACTCTTAGCTACTACTAAGATCCACAAACAACAGCACGCCCTACCTTTGTTTTCCTGCTTGATAAATGACTGAACGTCAACAAGGAAGTCTTTGAACAGGCAGTAAACCTCTTGCCACCACTCATGACAGCTCTCCTTGGACATGGGCAATTCTAGAGGCTAGCTAGCAAGCACTCAGAAAAGCCTAGGGCCGGGAATATGGTGTACATGTCTACAAAGCAACAGGTACTTTCCATGCTACAGAACTGAGAACAACACATATGAAGCTGAACTTAATTCCCACATGCCCATGCCACTGCTGTAATTCTGAAGTTATTTTCACAACATCCGACCTTTGAGGTCACAACGAGATTAAGTGGGTGTTAGAACAGAGTGTGGATCATACACACCTCTACATATCTCAGTATTTCTACAGAATTAAAATGTTACTTGGAATGCCAGAGACATAGTAATACTAATTGTATACCAACCCCATTGGCAGCTGCCATCTGCACTACTGTTTCTATTGCTGATTTATTAAAATACCGCCCATCTCCACCGACCACCAGTGATGATCCCTGGCGATCTTTTAGGTCTATGGAAAAGAATATGCTCTGAATAAAATTCTCCAGATAGCAAGGCTTTGCCTCAAAGCAATAGGTGTTCTTCCGTAATCCACTTGTTCCCGGCTTCTGGTCCTGGTAGGGCGCTGTGGCAAAGGTCAGCAGCGGGAGAGGACCCTCTTCTGTTTTCCTGTATGTCCCAGAAAGCCATTCTTCAAAGTCACTCATCTTTCCTATCCACCACTTGGCTCTGTGAGGCTGTCCAGAAAGTAGCTGATGGTCCCCCAAATTGTCTATCCGACCTGAAGCTGCCACAGTGTCCTCCGAGTAAGTAACAGTTTTTTTCCGGGACCATCACTCTCGGTGAGAAAACCTCATTAGTAGTCTCCTATGGTGGTTGTCTCTTAAGAAAAAGTTATGGGCCACACACCCACCCATACCCCCACAAAGAGCAGATCTTCAAAGTTGCTGGGATGAAGATTCCTCTGCCCACACAATGAAGCTGGACATGGCTTCAATTATTTTTGCCCCCGTTCCCCGTTAGGGCGATGTGCTGACTTTGGTTTCTGACACCAGACAGCTGCCAGCCTACTCTTGAAGCCAAGGTTAAGATGGAATAACTGCAGGCCCCCAAAGCAAGTTAGGACAAGATACTTGGTGTGGCTCTCGCTATTCCTGCTGCCCCATGAGCTGGAGCCTCTGGGCCATTTGCAGCTAACGTTGCTTGGAGCCTCTGAGCAAATTAAAGGTCAAGCTTAAAATGGAAGAGAAGGACAGATCTCAGTCGCCTCTGGTGTCTTCGTGTTACTGCTGTCTATTACCCACAGGGTTGTGCCCTTCCTTAAAATGGAAGAGAAGGACGGATCTCAGTCGCCTCTGGTCTCTTCGTGTTACTGCTGCTCTGTTACCCACAGGTTGTGCCCTTCCCACATGCAGTTATAGGTGGAAGGGGAGCAACCATCCAACAGAATAGACTTGCTCACTGGCCTCCAAGAATTTCATCAAATAGGGCTGGAGTACAGCTTAGTGGGAATGTGTTTTTCAGCATAGGCACGGCCTAGGGGTCATCTCCAGCACTGGAAGTAAAAATAATTTAGTAAGAGTACCCACTGACCAACAGCGTGACTGTTCCCTTAAATTTAGAAAAAGGAATCCATGGATCCACACAATTCTTGAGAAATCTAGAACAATGAAGGGTTGATATACGGATCTCCATAAGTGTATGAGGTTGGATCAGTTGCTAGTAATTCGACAAGTATAAGGGCAGTAAGATGAATTATTTTAAATAGGGTCTCAATCTGTAGCCCAGACTGGCCTTGAACTTGCCATGTACCTCATACTGGTCTGGAGCTTGAAATCCTGCTGGCCTCTGCCTCCCAATTGCTGAGATACAGCCACGTGACACCATGCCTGGTATAAACAGACTTTACTCTCAAGAAAACATTTTTAATGTTTACTTTCATTTATGTGCATTTTTGTATATCTAGGTGTATCTAAGTCATACGTAGTGCAGGCACTTATGGCGGCCAGATGACGACAACGGATGCCCTGGAGCTGGAGTTACAGGAGCTGTGCAATGTGAGCATGGTGTGGGTAATGGGAACCAAACTTGGGTCCTCTGGAAGAACCGTACCCACTCTGCCACGGCATCTCTCCCACCCCTCAGGAAAATTCTTCTGGTAAAGCAAATTGTCTTTTGCACTTGAAGAACCTACAATGTTTTAGAACATTTTACCTGAACAAATTTAGTACCTAATCTCCTCTGATCCCTGAGGTTTTCTTTTCCTAACAATCTATTTAAATACATACATGTGAGTTTCTTATTTGGGTCAACAGAAGTTACCAATTAAGAAGCCCAGCACTCGGAAGGCAGAGGCAGGCGGATCCCTATGAGTTTGAGGTCAGCCTGGTCTACAGAGTGATATCCAGGACTGCCAAAGCTACACAGAGAAACACTGTCTCAAAAATAAAAACGAAAATGAAGTTTATATAATCAAAGGCAGCAGTGAATCACCACCTTTGAAAAACAAAATGGTTTCTCTACTAGTGTGACAGTCGGGGTGCGAGAGCAGACGCTCTGGAAACAGCGACTTGCCCTCTCAGAGGTGGGAATAGCCCTGTGCTCTGGGGATGGCCCAGCACGGGGACCAGCAGATCTAAGGGGCCCAAATAAGCAGTTTACTGACACGGGAGCCTGGTCGCCTTCACAAAGTGAACAAGGCCACACGTATCAGCCACTGACACCTTAAGTACCATCGGGTCTGCTGGATAATATGGTCCAAGAGGTAGAGCTGTTTGCACAGCAGCCTGGACCTGCTGGGAAGAGCCTTCTCCAGTTCCAGGCCCCACTCAAAGCTAACAGCTCACCAAGTCACGTGTTATACGGGCCAGACTAACACACCCCAGTGAGGAATGTGCTGTCTCTAAACAGGCTTCTTTCTTGGTGGTAGGAGGGGCGGGTGTAGTGATTTCTTCCTTCACCTTAGAAGGAATGCCTCTGCATACCCTATACCACTGGAGGCTTAGGGATTTATCTTACCAATTAGAAGGCCCCTGAAATTTGGTTGGATTTATTGGATGTGCATATTTGTTAACAAGTCCAAAGTGGCTGCTACCTCCTGCTCACTTCATCCGATTAGCATAAGGCCATCAATACAGTGGACCAGTGTGATATTTGGTGAAAGAGACAGATGACCAAGATCCCTTTAAACTAAGTTATGACACAGGGTGTCGAGTTAATATACTCTTGAAACAAAATTGTAAAGGTATAAATAACGCTGGCCTTGTCAACTGTAAACAAAGAGAAAGAAAATCTTCAGTTGTGGAAACAGTTCACGAGGCACAGGTAGGTATTAGGTTGAGAACTGGAGAGCCAAAAACCAACCACTTGTTAGTAGTTTATTTAGGGCTCCTGTTTTAAAAAATGAAATTCTTGGAAATTAATTTTACAAGCAAGCTTATTTTATTCATGACTATATACCATGACTTTCTTTACTTATTACAAGTAGCTTTTTAAATTCATCTATTTTAAGTTCTGTGCCAAGTTCCCCTTCATTTCTTATAGCCTTGCAAATTAGACCAACATATGTGCCTTGGCATATGCAACCAGAGAGCAAGATTTATGAAATATTATTGCAGTGATCTCTTCATTGGACTAACAGAGCAGCCACCCAAGGCACTGCAGCCCTCTAAATGAGATCTCGATGTCCCAGGGCCTGAGGGTGCTTGGGGCATACCCACTCGAGCTCTCTGTCCACCTAGCACATTTCACTCCAGCATGCTCCCTGCTCCTGCTGGGCCACTTGCTGGAGAAGTGCTTTCTGAAGCTGAAATTAAAAAGTTAAGTTTAGGTGGCTGCACATGCCCAGTATTTATCAATGTGCAAAGGGAAACCTGAAGGATACATGGTGGACGCTTGCTGTAGAAAAGCTTCCTCTCTTGTGTGTGTGTGAGAGAGAGAGAGAGAGAGAGAGAGAGAGAGAGAGAGAGAGAGAGAGAGAGAGAGAGAGAGAGAGAGAGAGAGAGAGAGAGAGAGAGAACGAACAGGTCGTAATTTTACGGACACCATAGAATTCAACCTCATATAAAAACATTACCAGAAGCAGCGCTGTTAGATGGCCTGTGAAGCGGGGTAAAAAGGAAGAGGCATTAAAAACATTAAGCTCCCTGGGCCGCCTGGACTAAGTGGAGCAGCTATTAGGAAACTCATCTGTTTTAGCTCTCCAGCAAAGGTTGAACTTCATCTTCAGAAACGCTACTGTCGAGCAGAGCGAACCCAATTTGGCCTAATGAATTCGCCTGCATTGCCAGTACTCCTTCACAATGACACAGATTACATTTAAACCATATGGGGGATTTAAGGATTGCTCCCTTCAGACAAGGAACTTTCATACTGGTCTTGGGCCCAATCAATTTCACAATGGCAGAGTTATGAACCCCTTCACTTCTGGCTTCCCAAAGATTCAGGTCCCTTTCTCATCAGAAAGCTGGAAACCTCTCTCCTTTCTTTCCCTACCTTCCTTTCTTTCTTCCTCCTCTTTCTTTCCATCTACACATATATTCGTTGGTCAGTTAACTACTATGTCTATTCCCCATACAAGCACTGGACCTAGGGCTCAAGTGGGTTCACGTTTCCATACACAGAATTTAGTTTTAGAAAATGTCACAAAAGTGGGCCTAACGGACAGATGTGCTAATTCTGATTTGGGTACAAAGCCCAGGAAGCTGTCTACTCATTCAGCTAAAATCAACAGGATGTACCCAAACCGCTGGTCCACAGCTCTCTACTCTAGCATGGTCCCAAATGCATACCACTAAGAGCCCAGAGTGTCGTTCCATAGTGGTGGGAAAAGCCCACTCATTTCACCAGAGAACGCAGCTCAGCATTGCAATATGTGACGTGCACAGGATTAGGATACAGGTGCAACCAGGCCCCAAATTGATGACACTCATGAAAGATAATTTAACTGAACCAAGCCTGCAAAATGCAGCCACAATCAATCAAAATGGGTAGTAAATCATGAAAGCACCCGCCCCTCCCTGCTCCAAGCCTCAGTTTATCTCTAAAGTGAAACCTAACACCTGCCTCACTCATTGGAGCAAGGTAGAGATCACCATTCTCCTGAACCCTGAGGCAAGCCTGTCAACTAGGAATGATGTAGAGGTACTAATTACTGCTTTTTCACACTCTGGGTGGGGGTAGGGACAGAAACATGGGTGAGTGGGTCTTTGCTGGGAAAGTCCCATCCAGAGGAAACACTCATGGTATGTACTCACTCATATATGGATTTTAACATGAAGCAGGAGAGTGTCAGCCTATAATCCCATTGCCAGAGAGTCTGGGAAATAGGGAGGACCCTAAGAGAAGGGGAATGGGACAGGATCTCCTGAGTGGATTGGAAACATAGAGGAAGGGGACAGGGAGCTGGGGTAAAGTAAGGGGGAGAAGAAAAGGGCAGAGGAGGACATGGGGGAGCAGGCAAGTTGAGTCGGGGGAAGAATAGAGGAGAGCAGGATGAGAGATACCATAATAGAGGGAGTCGTTATAGGTTTGAGGAGAGATCTGGCACTAATGAGGTGCCCAGAGATCTACAAGGATGACACAAACTGGCAATCTAAGCAATAGTGGAGAGGCTACCTTAAATGCCCTTCCCCGATAATGAGATTGATGACTACCTTGTATACCATCCTAGAGTCTCCATCCAGTGGCTGATGGAAGCAGAGGCAGGCACACACAGCTAAACACTGAGCTGAACTCCTGGAAACCAGCTGCAGTGAGGGAGGAGTGATGAGCAAAGGGGTCATGACAGGGCAGGTGAAACCCACAGAAACAGATGACCTGAACAAGGACCCCAGACTGATGGCTGAGAGACCAACATGGGACTGATTCAGACCCCTTGAACGTGGATGTCAGTGAGGAGGCCTCAGCAAGCTTTGGGGTTCGAGTACTAGATCAGTATTTATCCCTGGCATCTGAATGGACTTTGGGAGTCAATTCCACATGGAGGGATGCTCTCTCAACCTGGACCCAAGCCCTGTCCTGGATGATATGACAGACTTTGGAGATTCCCCATGAAGGGCCTCACCCTCCCTGGAGAGTCAAGTGGGGATTGGGTGGGGGGTTGGGGAAGTAGGTGGGGGAGGGGGAGGGAGGAGGGGAGGGAGAGGGAGCTGGGATTGACATGTGAAGCAAGCTTGTTTCTAATTTAAATAAATAAATAAATAAATAAATAAAAAGAGTTGCTGTGGTCATGGTGTATCTTCAACCAAAACCCTAAGTAAGCTTAAGGAACTAGAGGAACAAGACCATCATATCATGAGCCTACCAGCTGAACTGTTTCTGACAGCCAGGTGATACTCTAGGATACTCAAGCATTGCTAAGCTCGCACTGAAAGTTACTAACTCTAAGGTAAGAATGACTAACTCTAAGCTAAAACTTACTAACTCTAAGCACTGTGGCCTTGATATGTTTGTGTGAGGGGGGATCAGAAAAGAATCCAAAATAGAATGAAGCAGACAGTGGGTTGGCTGTACCTTCTGGACTGTGCAGGGTTCAGGATGTTAGATGCTACAACTAGGAAACAAACGCTCTGAGCAGGAATCGCTGGAGACTCACCAAGGCATCGGCATTCTGGACCAGGAAGGCTCCACATCCAGATGCCTGGTCAGCGCTCACTACATCCAGCTCGCAGCATCACCCTCATTCAACCAGAAAAGTAACTCCTAACTGCTCAAAATAACAGAATCCATGGGAGAGTGTGTGGTGGGAATCAAACCCATGGCCTTGAGCATACCAGGCAAGCACTATGCACTGAGCTACATTCCCAGCCTCTACATTAAAACACAGTTAGAATTAAGTATAGAATTTCAAAGCATACCTTGTATAAAGATATCAAATCAAATTTACAGTACACATTGAGCATGTCGTATCCCAAATTCTCTATACCAAAAGTGTTTTGGATTTCAGATTTCTCTGAATTCTGGAATGCACCACCACCACCTGGCAGGTCTTTAATTTCTAAATAACACACATGAAAATGTCTGTGTTTATCAAAAACAATATTCAACCATGGAGCAACTAACAGGGCTCACATAAAGTTTTCATACAGATCTTTTATTTTCATTTTTGGGTATTCTCAAGGAAACTCTCATTTAAATACCTTAAGAGTCTTCATGTAGAGCTAACAGAAGAACTTTTCACATTCTGGGTATTACCTGGAGTTAAGTATTAAAATAGTTTGATGAAAGGTAGCAAAATTCCAAAGTTTCCCATCACAAAGAGTGTTGTATGTATGCATTAAATCAC